CAAACTGGGCTTCGGGGTCTTCGTTGAACTATCGACTACCGTTTCGCTTTTGCTTCCGTAGCAGAAGAACCACATTCGTGCACGCCAAGATTTGAGGGGAGTTTGCCATCGGGGCAGATGGCAAGTCCGCAGCTCGTGGCTTTGGGCAGGCTCGAATGAAGACTAGGGAGTGTATCATATATCTTTTGTCTTGCCTGGGCCCTTTGTGCAAGGGAGCACAAGCGAAGCGATCTATTAATAGAAGAAAGCATTATAGATGATACGTCCTTCCCGATAGAAGTTAAGATTTTTTCGAGAAAAATCTTCTATTCTATTGAGTAAAATCATCCCTCCTAATCCTATAAATAAATAAGAGATAAATATGTTAATGTATTCAAGTTACTTCATCTCACCTTTTCAAAAAAGCTTCTTCCTTTATTGTTCTTATCTTTTATTATTTCATCTTTTTCAATAAAACTTCTTCCCTTATTGTTCTTATCTTCTATTATTTCTATCATGAGAAAAATCTCACTTGTAAATCATTTCTTGTATCGATCCAAAATTGGTATCCTTGTCAAGAGCACCATCTTGCCCCCAAATCCTTTATTCTGTTGAGGAAAATCCTTCCTCCTAATCCTATAAATAGGAGATGAACATGTTAATGTATTCAAACTAAGCTACTTCACCTTTTCAATAAAGCTTCTTCCATTATTGTTCTTATCTTTTATTATTTCAGTTGATACATTACCTGATCTGAAATTATCGATTCACGTTTTGTTATTAAGTCATGTTGAACTTTCCTCATCATTAACCCTTCTTCACAAGGAAAAAAAGGGAGCTTACTGGCTGATTAGCTTACTGTACGCAATTTACAACTAACTGTGTGGACAATGTCAATCATTAAGGTACAGACATGCACAGACGAATTTTACGACTTATGTGCTAGAAAGTGTTGCTGCACGATGAGTGATTGTGTTTGGAGAAATAGTAAAGTTGATGATTCCTTACTCGTAAAGGAATCTTCATTTTCTTCGTCATAGCAGGTGGGAAGATAACATTCTGTCACATACTTGTTTTCATCATGCAATGTATGTCTGAGGATACATAGATGAACAATTTGTAAATGGTAGGTCATTGAGGACCTGAAGCCCCTATAGCTGGTTGCATTGTGTTGGTTACAATTTTTAGTTCGTTCAGGATGGGAGTGGCACTTAGCAAGTTGAATGCATCTGAAACAATTTTGGCTTAATTAGCTAAAGAATTCGTAAAGAAGAATTCCTAAAGAATTTTGAGGAGATGTTATTGCTTGTGCAGTAACATTTTTTTTTTGACAAAGAGAATTGGTAATATTATACTAAAAGAAGTATGAAGCTTACATAAAACAAGAGTTAAATCATTTGAGAATTTTGCAGAAGTGTTATATTAGCTAAGATACCAAAAAAAAGAGAACAAAACTTAAGAATAAAAATTAAAAATGCATCTTGTTAGGTTATGCTAAGAATTCTAGTGGTTACAAACTTTATAATCATATCGCAAACAAAATTGTGATGCTAAGAGATGTTGAGTTTGAGGAATAATGGATTTGAAATAGGAAAAGTGATGAGCAACATAAGAAAACTATATATTTAGAAGAGGATGCTATAATACAAACAAGCACCGAAAAGTCTTTATTTGAATCATCACCTAGATTGGCTAGGTCACATGATTCAAGAAGTCCGATTTTAAGGATAAAAATAATTCAGGAGCTATATGATGTTACTTGAATGGTCGATACTAACAATGATGAGCTTTCTTTTTTTTATCTTTTTATACGATATAATCCATCAACCTTCAAATAAGTTTGTAGAGAAAAAAAAGTGACAAACTATGAAGAAGAAGATTTGTGCTATTAACAAAAATAATACATGGGAGCTTACTACACTTCTAGAAGATCACTAAACAATTGGTGTAAAATAGATTTTCAAAACAAAAAGAAATGCACGAGAAGAGGTGTAGAAATACAAAGCATGATTGGTTACGGAGGATTACAAATAAGAATATGGGATTGACTATGAAGAAGTATTTGAACCAATTATTCGATTGGAGACAATGAGATTATTTATTTCCTTAGCAGCTCAAATGAAATAAAAAATTTTATAAATGGATGTGAAATCAATATTTTTCTTAATGGAGCTTTTGAAGAAGAGATATATATTCAATAATCCGTGATTTTAATATTCATGAATAACAAGATAAGGTATACAAGTTAAAAAGTGCTTTATGGGCTTAAACAAGCTCCATGAGCATGGAATTCTTGGTTATATACTTATTTTATTCAAAATAAATTTTCTAAATATCAATATGAACATGCTTTCTATATGAAATTTAACTCTGATAAAGATATCTTATTTATATGCATGTTTGTAGATGATTTAATTTTTTATAAGTAATAATATCTTCATAATTAAAGACTTTAAACACTTTATGAAGAAAGAGTTTGAGATGACCACTTTGGGCCTAATAACTTATTTTATCGGTATTGAAGTTGTACAAGATAATGAAAGAATTTTTATCTCATAAGAAAATTATACAAAGGAGGTTCTAAAGAATTTTTTCATGAAAGATTGTCACTCTACAAATATACTTGTGGAATATGGCACCAAGTTAAACAAGGAAGGTGAAGGTAAATATATTAATCTAACTTATTATAAAAATTTAGTTGGATGTTTAAGATATTTGACATGCACTCGACCTGATATATTATTTAGAGTTGGTTTAATAAGTAGATACATAGAAGCTCCTAAGATATCTCATTTAAATATTATCAAAAGAATTTTACTATATATTAAAGGGATAATTGAGTATGAAATATTCTATTCATCATCTAAAAGGTTAGAGCTTATTTGATATAATGATAGTGATTACGTCGAAAGTTACGATAATCGAAAGAGTACAATTGGATTTATATTTTATTTTAGTAAAACTACATTCACGTGGTCTTAAAAAAAATAACATATTAAGCAGAATATATAGTAGTATCTTCTTGTGTTTGTCATGCAATATAGTTAAGAAGATTATTTCAAGAACTTCATATACCACAGGATAAGTCAACCAAGATTTATGTTAGTAATAAATCAGTTATTGCCTTAGCCAAGAATCCAGTCTATCATGAAAGATCAAAGCACAACAATATAAGATTTTATTTTATAAGAGATCATGTCAAAAATAAAAAAATAAAGCTAGTTTATATCAAGACAAATTAATAAGTGATTAATATATTTATACAATCTCTAATTTGAAATATCTTAACAACTTTGAAAGAAACTTTATATGTTAGATGGAATAAGTTCAAGGGAGGTGAATGTTAAATTTTAACTTATTAAAGTATCATAAAAAGGTTCAGTGTATTAAGAGAAATAGGTTCATTGCATCAAGAGGAAAAATAAATTAACATTACGTCACTGGCCATATCGTCAAGTTGGACCTCGAGAGCACAAATACAAATGATTGGGCATTACGCGATGAGAGGATGAACTCATCATTACTTGCTTTATCTCACCTGAAGCACTTGGATCTTAGCTCCAATGATTTCAGAGGAATCTGGATCCTGGGATTCATTGGCTCCTTCAAGAAACTAAGATAACCTGATCTATCTCGCACATATTTCATGGGAGGAATACCTACTCGGGTGGGGAACCTTTCAAAAGCCTCTACGTTCTTAATCTAAGAGTTGCTTTATGTCTTTGCACCCCCTTCTTCACAACCCCGATTGTCTCTCTCATCTTACCTCCTTGAAGCTCAGCCAGTTAGATCTAACCATTGTCCCTCCAAGTGTTAAGTATGTCTTTCGTTGGTCTCAATAGCATCCCAGCTTCTATCGTCCATGTCATCTTTACCACCTCTTTTACCGTCTTATCCAAATGGTTGGAGAATATTAGTAGTCTTACCTATCTTGATATTTTTAATTCCGAGTTCTATGGCATTATTCTTTCTACAATTAGAGACTTAGACTCATTTTTCTTGATCTAGGAGGTAATCGACTTGAGGGTATTGTACTGAGATCCATTATTGATCTCCATACACTAAAAGGGAAGAAAACAAGGATAATGTAGATAGGTTGTTCTCAATCATGCAGTGTTCTCATCTCAGGTTAGATCAGATCTACAGTAGATTCTTGTTGTGATTACTTGGGGAGAATTTGGATATTGTGCACAGTGACGTGATCTTTGTATCCCAGTTATTTTATTGTGATTGTTGCTATGATTTTATGCGAGAGATTGAGATTTGTATATTCATTATTTTTATAGTGAATTATCTCTAGTTTACCTTATGATTTTTACCCTTCACATTGGAGGGGTTTTTCACGTAAATCATAGTGTTTTATTTGATTGTGATTCCATTTAATTTTGTTACGTGTTACGGCTTGCTGTTATTTATTATTATATAAAAATTTATTTCTCTTTATATCCCACCGTGGCTCCCTCACCCCTTCCCTCTCCTTCTCTGTCGCCTGAGGTCGTTAGTATTTGTCAACCATCATCGATCGATCTTGCACTACCACCTTTTGCTCGTAACACCCTTCCCTCTATCTCTCGCCTGGTGTAGCTACCAGAAGAGGAGAGGAGAAGAAGAAAGAAAAAAAAAAAGAGAAATAAACAAATTTTATTAGAATTAAATTATAAATTATATGTATATATATATTAATTCATAAAAAATTAATTTAAAAAAATATTTTAAGTGATCGTAAATATTAATCTCTATTATTATTATTATTATTATTATTAAAATAAACTTCCTCCTTCCGTACGTCTGCTTTCAACGCAGCTGTCCAAAGCGACAAACCAGTTTCGTGCGGAAAGAAAAGATTAGGATGCTCTCCAAGTACCATAGCATCCGTCTACCATGAAGCGAATGCCATCCAACGGTTGATGCGTAGGACTTGCATCCGTGGAGAATCGAGATGTGAGAGTGTAAGAGAACAAATATACTAGCTTTGGAAGTGGATCTCTCACGTTTATTTTTTCGAAAAGGCCGTTGTGCGCTCGGTTCTGCTGCCGCTGCTGCTTCCTTCCTAAGGAAGGAATAGCATCGTCGAAGCATCCCCCCTCCGGACACGAATTCCTCTTCCGCGGGATCCATCGATGGGGCACCCTCCTTTGTCGCTGCTTGCGGGGAACGGTCCCCAACTCCGGCTACCGAGCGCTGCGGAGGACCTGATCGAGCGGATCTGCCGGGAGAAGTCGCTACTCCCACCGGACCCCGTAGCGAGGAAGGCCCTCGCCGGCCTAGGGGAGGCCGCTGCCTTGGACATCCTGCGGAAGGTGTCCTCCCGCAGAATCAAGAATTTGTCCGCGCTGATCATGTACATGGCTAGCCGACCGAACGCCGCCCAGGCCTCCACCCATGCGAGCGCCTGCTTTCCCCATTCCCCGTCCTCTGGCCCTAATTCGGTTGCAGGTGGGAAACTACGTTTTCTTGCTTTAGTTTAAACAAAAAAATTCCTTTTTTCGTTAGAAAAGATAGAGCCTGTTTGTCTTTTACAAACTGGGCTTTGGGTCTTCGTTGAACTATCGACTACCGTTTCGCTTTTGCTTCCGTAGCAGAAGAACCACATGCGTGCACGCCAAGATTTGAGGGGAGTTTGCCATCGGGGCAGATGGCAAGTCCGCAGCTCGTGGCTTTGGGCAGGCTCGAATTTAGAAAGGCTTTCTTGATCCTTAGTTATATCGGAAGGTCAGTGATGGCGCTACTTTTGGTTTAATGTTCTTGATTTCCTGATAGCTCAAGGAAATGCTAAATGGCCATGTGGAGGTACATTAGGAGGTCCTGAGGTGATCTTTTGGGTTATGCAAGAAAGACAACGAGATACTTATTTTACCCTTTTCGGAAGATCAATTTTGAATACGAAATGTTTGTGAAGTATATAAAATCGAGTCATAGAGAACACTTCAATATTTTGAACATCCTACGCACCTTCGAGCCAGAAATTGTCAAACTGTCTTTCTGCCTTTTCAGTTTCTGTAGCAACATGAGCAATCATTCGGCTCTAAGTTGCTTCTTGAAAGCACATCTGAATGCCATACGAATATGAACTTCTGATTTTTACCTGTGAATACGTTTTACCTGCAATTATATTCATCACCAGATATGTGGAAGCATTAAAGATTCTATTGTTTGAAATTTATTTTATTGTTGTCCGCATCATGTAACTTCATCTTGCAAACTTGGCAGATTAAATGCCAAGTTTTGCTGACTGCCTTGCGAGTTTAAATTCTCAATTTGCAATTTTGTCTCTGCGGTAGCCAATTTGTATATGTTCAAAGAAATGCTGTTATTTTGGTGTCAACACAGTGTTTCCCATACCAAACAAATATGGGCCTGATCCATCTGGTTTTTATTTGTTCTGGCACAGATTAAAATGTCATTGAGCATTCTTCCGAGTGTTGAATTGTCTGAATGAAGACTAGGGAGTGTATCATATATCTTTTGTCTTGCCTGGGCCCTTTGTGCAAGGGAGCATAAGTGAAGCAATCTATTAAAAGAAGAAAGCATTTTAGATGATACGTCCTTCCAATTCCTCTTGAAAATGGTCATGCAATGCCAAAAAGCTTGATGACCTGAGAGGCTGGGACACTTCCATGCTGAAACTTCAGTTGATACATTACCTGATCTGAAATTATCGATTCAGGTTTATTTATTAAGTAATGTTGAACTTTCCTCATCATTAACCCTTCTTGAGAGGAAAAAAGGGGGCGCATCTTATATCTAGGCTTTTGGAGTGCGGAGGAGCTTACTGGCTGATTAGCCTTTTGTTTTGTCCTCAATTTACAGCTAATTGTGGACAATGTCAACCATTAAGGTACAGACGTGCACAGACGAATTTTGCTCCTCATCATAAAAATTTATAATTTCCTGGTCAACCTTTCAGTTTATGACTTATGTGCTGGAAAGTGTTGCTGCACAATGAGTGATTATGTTTGGAGAAATAATAAAGTTGATGATTCCTTATTCGTTCAAGGAATCTTCATTTTCTTTGTCATAGTGGGTGGGAAGATAACATTCTGTCATAAACTTGTTTTCATCATGCAATGTATGTCTGAGGATACCTAGATGAACAATTTGTAAATGGTAGGTCATTGAGGACCTGAAGCCCCTATAGCTGGTTGCATTGTGTTGGTTACAATTTTTAGTTCGTTCAGGATGGGAGTGGCACTTAGCAAGTTGAATACTTGAATACATCTGAAACAGTTTTGGCTTAACTAGCTGATACCGATTTTCTTTTGCTTTCCCAGGAATAAACTAGAAGAGATGATATCAGTTGATTTTATTGAGAAAATACAATTATGGCCGATGAAGCAATTCGAGTTGGAAGTTTGGAAAGAAGTTGGGTCTAAGTGCATTTCTGAGCTAGATAGGAGAAAGGTAAAACTTACCATTCACAACTACTCTATAAAAATATAGTTGTTCTTAAGTTCATATTCACCAAAATAATTCCTCAATTTGGCACATTCTTTGAAATATCTTTTGAAAATATATTAGTAAAATGTAGGGAAAGTTTGAAGGGGGCCATCTTGATGAACTTCTTTAGTGGAATTGACTAATATAATTTAAGTGTTGGAGTTTCATATAGTTTGTTCTGTATTTGTTTTTTTGAAGTGTCTTAACCATTCTGGTTACTTCCATTGTTCATTTCCATAATTCTTTAAGAATCATTTGCCTTTAAAGCTTGAGACTTTTGAACCAGGAAATAACTTGTGCTTAATTTCTAATACTCCACGCCTGCCCTTGAAGCTTGAGACTTTTGTACTGGGAAATAATTTGGGAAAGATCTCAATGCTGGACCTATTCTCCTCAACCGAATTTGGTTTTTCAGAAAGAATTACGAGTTAGTACTAGTAGAATATTAGTGTGTTATGTGAAGGGATTAAAATATCAGCCTAACCGGTATGTTTTAAATGGTATTTTCTGCTACGACCAACGATTGGTATTAGACCATATTGTTTAATATTTTATGGTCTGGTACCAGTGGGTCTTCAATATTTTGTTGAGTTTCACTGGGTTCAGGTTGGTATACTGTTCACAACTGGCATTTAGATCCTTGATGTGAAGGAATAACATTCATGTTTGTCGTGTTGTCGCATGCATGAGAAAGCCTTCCATGTCTACACCTAATGATTTTTCTTTCTCTGGCTTGCAGAATATGGACTGGGATTCCGGTAAGGCTCATGTATACCATTGTCACGTTGACTTAGAGAGAAATTTTACATTTAAGGTATGTTACTAGTCTTTTTGGGTATGTAGAAGATTCAAATTCCCCATTCTGTTCTTTTATTCATTGAGCTAGGTTATGTTGTCAGCGGCACATGATTTACAGTATTGATCATTTGGCAATCGGAGTTCATTTAGCTTATTTGAGCTACTATTAGACTTCTTGAATCAATTTTTTGTCATGCCAGGGCTTTCAATTAGTATAAGTAATAGCTTCTGCTTTCCAAAACATCACTTTGTTATTGGATTTTAAATTCATAGTATTTTAAAATATGAACACAAAAAGAAAAGTTTATAGTGAGCTGGTTGCTTTGTGGGGATGTAGAAGATTTACAGTCTTCTACTTTCCCAAATAGACTTCTGCTTTTAAATTCTGCTTTCCCAAATAGACTTCTTGATTTACAGTCTTTTTGGGTATGTAGAAGATTCAAATTCCCCATTCTGTTCTTTTATTCATTGAGCTAGGTTATGTTGTCAGCGGCACATGATTTACAGTATTGATCATTTGGCAATCGGAGTTCATTTAGCTTATTTGAGCTACTATTAGACTTCTTGAATCAATTTTTTGTCATGCCAGGGCTTTCAATTAGTATAAGCAATAGCTTCTGCTTTCCAAAACATCACCTTGTTATTGGATTTTAAATTCATAGTATTTTAAAATATGAACACAAAAAGAAAAGTTTATAGTGAGCTGGTTGCTTTGTGGGGAAAACAAGGATAAATTGACTAAACTGTGACAATACTACATATGTATGTATGCAAAATCTGTAGAGTACTGCCTTACTTACTGTTCAGTCAGATTTATCTTGTTTCATTCTTTTGTATAATAAGTTTGGAAAATATTTAGTTCAGAAGATGTGCTGGGCACATAACTCCTGATGAAGACAAGGACCTATGTTGATACGAGTGGGAAAAAGAAAGTAAGTATTTAGGAGAATAACAATAGCATTCAACGGAAAAGGAGGTCTAAGTGAAAGTACAAAACCACCCCATCCTTAACAAAAAAAAAAGTCAGCCGATTTTTTTATTGGTGAAATATGCACCGTATTTTAAATTGTTGTTTATATTCTGCTCTTCATAACTGACATTCTCTTTGTCAAATTTCATGGTCGTCTTCTTCTCCTAATATTCAGAGATGGGATATGAATTCATGAGCACTCTAGTCTTTTTGTTTTGTATCACAAAATTTAGTTATGCAAGTACATGTTCAGGGTCCCTATCTTCAACTTCAGAGAACTCATCTGCAGCGGATCTTAGGTGATGACAATGTCTTGTTGGTAAAATTCACTGATGAAATGAGTGGAGAAAAAAGATCATCTTGTAGTTTTCAAATATCTAACTCAGTATACCACAAAGTTGCTGAAGAGGGGATTTTTGTGGGTTTACGATGGTATCAATTTTTTGGTAAGGTTATTTTCTTTAACTTTCTTTGTCATAATTCTTTGTTGCAGCTTAATGTTTGCGATAAGTCTGGTCTCATCAGTTTTGGGAGTGAGAGTGGATTGATAAATCTATACTTGCTTAATATTTTAGAACTTTCTAGTGATTTAACATGATTGCGACTGGCAATTATTTGATGCCTAAGGGTTATTTTGGAAAAAAAAAAAATCAAATTTTTAGTCTGCCTTTACTGATTTAATATGTTCTGACATATTTGGGAATGAGCTAACAATTGGTTTGTGCTTGATCAGCATTTGTATTTTTGGACTCGTTAGCTTTTCATCATTTGGTGTGAAAAGCTATGTTGAAAAGAAAGGTCTAATTCTCCCGTACATTATATTCAGTACCTTCTTATAATTGTGTTGCAAAAGATGCAATTAAGACTGAAGTATACTTCTAGCACTGAAAAATAAATGTAATTACGGATAGGAAAAGGATCCTAACTCTTGCATGCTTTAGTTTTGATTTATATGATGTTCTAGCCTTGGGTTCTAGTAATTTTGCATTTACATGGGTCTTCTTGTTCAATGGGACTTTTTGGGAAGTGATATAAGATACTTGAGTGCTTTCATAAAATACACATACCAATTAAAGAAAATGGATTAGGAATTGAAAATTAGCATGAGTGTTTCCATGAGATTTAAGCTGATTTCAGACCATTTGATATGCTTTATGATGCTTGTTCTGAGAAGTGATTTATTCTTATTACTCTTTTAAATACATAGAAATTGTCCAGTGAAGTGTTTTCCTGAATTTATGAGAATACATTTAAATGAGTACCTCAGATTGGATGCTGTAGTGCCATTGCTGAGTCACATCTCTAGTATCTTTCAGGTATTTGATGAAAGTATACAAAAAGTTTTTCCTGAAAAAATGATGTATCTGGCTTCTCATGCTATCTTTTGCCTTTTTTCATGGTACATTTGGTTTATGTATATTTAAATAGTGCTTCAATATTTTCTATGTCCATTTTAATTTAACTCTTTGTTCGAAGGGGCAAACAGTCATCTTTTCTTCTGGTCAGGGGTTGGGCTGTTCGATTCTATTGGGCTGTCCTGAAGTTGATCAGACCAACCAGAGCTCAACTGTGTAAGACATGGACTGCTGTTTTGCCCGGACCGGTACAAAATGGGCAGTTGTACCCATCCATTGAACCAGTACAGAGACTACCCCTGATTTGGGCGGTCCAGTCCGACCAATAAAAAAAAAGAAAAAATCTATCTCACTGGTTTAGGTCTTGTGTTTGTGAGCCCTCTTCCCCATACACACACAGCCTGTGAGCCTTTGCTGCCATCCATCGCTTGTTGTCAATTTTGGGTAGGATTCTTTCTCTTCTTCTCTTCCTCCTCCTTTTCCTTTTCTTTGTTCGTCCACCACCTCCTCTTCTTCCTCCTCTTGGTTCACCAGGTCCTCTTCTTCCTTCCTCCTCCTTTCTCCTCTTGCTCCATTGCCTCCTTTTGTTCTTTTGTCTTCTTCCTCCTCCCGCCTTTTCTTCCTCCACCATCTTCTCTTCTTCCTTCTCCTTCCTCTTCCTCTTCCTCTTCCTCCACTGCCATTTGATCCTTCCTGTTCTTCTTCTTCTTCTTCTCCCTCTTTGAGTCTTCAATACGTACCGGTGTGTCGTACCGACTGGTACATACCAGTCTGGTCTGGGACTGATATGCCTGGTCGGTGAGAGATGACAAACCTTAGTAAACCTGTACAACAAATCAGTTCAGCTGGTTTGGTTGGTTTGAATTGTCAAGTAACAATTTGATTTTACACTATCCTTGAGGAAAAAGGGTTCGCACTGAGCCTTGAACATTACAGAAATTGTGCTTGCCCAATCCAGATGCAAGACACCAGTTAGTTGAACCTTCCTACTTCTCTGTGCTTATCATACAAGTTAGGAAACTGAGTCTTATGGTTTCAGACTTTCAGTTCAGCTATTTTCATATTCTCTCTTCTACAATTCTTTCTGACAAATATGATCTTTTTTCCTGTTCATCATTGTCATTGCTCCCGCTCCCAGATGCAAGACACTAGCTGGTTGAGCTTTCCTAAGCTGCTCAGCGCATATAGGACAAGTTAGACAAGTGTGGTCACTAAGGAGTTTTATGGTTTTGGACTTTCATTTTGTCTACTTTCATTCCTTACTCTTCAACAATTCTTCCTAACTAATAGGATTTTATTTCCTATTTGTCATTGTCATTGCTCCCAGAAATCGGAGAAAAATCGAATTATCACTATGACACTGCAGACCATATTGTTGTGGAATTATCTATTGTTGTTACTTTGTTTACTATTTATGTCCTTTGTTGGTTATCTTAAGAGTTAATTGCTAAGTCCATTTTCTACTCAAGTCCTGCAGTTTCTTATGGTGTTTTTTAAGCATGCTCCTTAAAGCCATGGAAAAATTCTTACTGTTATAAATCAAAATGCTTTCTGACCTGTCTTCTTTTGTGTGATCAGTTTTCAAGGATGGTGGCAAAGAGAAGAAGAAAAGCCCAACTAGCTCTCCTGTAAAATGCTATTTTGTTCGCATGGAATCCAATTGGGGTGTGGACCAGGAAAAAGCTTATATTTTATCTGACAAGTTTATACATGAAGCAAGAACTGTTTTCATGCACATTCATACAGTTTCAAGTTTGTCCAAATACATGGCCAGGTTGAACTTTCTGCTGGATATGTAATGTCTTTCTGCACATTGTATGTCTAGTTTGTGGGCATAGCCAACTATGTTGAACATTGTCTGTTTTTTATGGCGATACAGTTGTTAGCATATGGTGTCATTAGTTGAATAGAACATAAATGCAGGTTTTCTTTGATCTTGTCCAAGACCATCAAGTTAGATATCGATCTTTCATCTATTCATGTGGAAGTGATTGACGACATACCTTGTGTGGTATACTTATGTTTCATTGGAAGATTTTTAATCAAATTTCAATCTGTTGCCTATGTCCTGATTCTGTGGCTTATTTGGATAGTGCTCTTTCATTCTTGTAGGATGACAATGGAAACATCTTATGTGGTGAAAATGGTGATCCAATGATCCATACAGATGGAACTGGATTTATTTCAGAAGACTTGGCTATGAAATGCCCCCAGCATATCTATAGAGGGAAATGTTCGATACCAACAGATATCCAGGTTTTTGATAGCTTAATTTTCCCTTTCAGCTTGATATGTTTCTCTGTGATATGTGCCGATGTTGATTGCTATTCTTCTGTAACTCCTCCATGTACTTATGAATTACGATGACCTCCTTGAATATCATTGTGCATTCATTTTCTTTGTATTTAACTATTAAAAGATGATTGCATTATTTCACAGTGAATTGGTTTGTGGAGCTTGCATTATCATACTAGATTACTTTATCAAGTGTCAGGAAAAAAAAGAAGTCATTCTATCATACATTTATCTATGAATCGTTTGTTTTAAGCATCAAGATAGATGTCCATGAATGACAGAGGTTGCGTGACATGGGCCAGCCGCCTCAAGCCTTGTTCCCTGAGGGAAAACAGAAAAAGAAACAATAAGGATCCATAATAAATTTCATCATTAGTCTGGTCTGCTGCACTGACATTAGAAATTTCATGTATACGTACGGCACCTGACTTTAATTAGAAAAGCGTAGCACATGCTGTAATAACCAATTATGTAACATTAGAAATCTGATTTAGATAGGAAAACAAAGTTCTAAGAATCTTGACCAATATTGATCTAAAATTTGCTACAGAAAAGGTTGACCTTGCAACTCTACTAGATTTTGATGTTGGGGTGGTAGATGGGTTTGTGCCTTGTATTATGCAGAAATCTGTGGATTCTGTCCACGTAGGAGTCAAACAATATGAACTGTAACATGATACGCAGATTGCCAAGATGACCCTCTTCCTGGCTGTCACCCTGTTCTTTCTCCAGTGTTGCGGTTGACCTGATATGGGGCAAGATCTTTTAGGTTTTATCATGAGAAACTTCAGAATCAGTAGGTTTTCATTGGAAGCACCATGACTTAAGTGGCACTTAGTTGGATTCAATCTGTCCCGGATAATTGTGTCTGGTTTGCATTTGGTTTCATCTGCCAATTTTTGTATCCCCCCATTCTGATTGACTTTCAGGCATACGTGGATTGATCTCTGATGATTTCTGGTTGTATTAAGTATTAACCAACTGCCATACAAAATACTTGTAGCATGTACATTCCATGTTTCATGTATTGCAATGCTGTTTATGTAATTTAGGCTAGAGTTCAATTTCATGCATCTCATAGAGACTATTAAGGTAGTTGAAATAAATAATAGACCAAGTAATTGAGGGCTGCTGTATCAGTTATAATTTACTTCACTGATGTTTTCTTGATATAAGAAATAAAAATGTCTTATCATTTAGCACATATGCATGAAGTAGGTAAAATATTGATAGTGCTGAAAGTGCTAGCATGTTAAGGTATACGACAATATGGACAAATAAAATTAACTATCATTGACCATGGAAATATCAACTAAAAATTTGGGCCAAAACTGTATGGATTTAAATTGCTCTAGTTCAAGTCTTCCTATGGCTTTTGCTTCCCCGAGATCAGGATCACATATTCTGCTAGAAGAATTAGTTTGTAATTATCTAAATGCTTTGCTTGAATATAAGCTCAATGCTATGAGGCTCTCTTAAAAAGAAAAAATATAAAATCTAGGAGGGATATTCATCAAATGTATTGAATTTTATGTCATATATGTTGCAAGAGAGAGTCAAGGCTAGGTGATTATTGTCACGACCCGAGTCTGATGAGCCAACTGGCCAATAACTTCATTTTGGTCCTTCAACCACGGACCAAAAGCGAGAGTTAATGTAGTACACTCATCAGCCCTATATAAGCTAATCATATACATTGTCCACTTCCGATGTGGGACTAATGTGATGTTACAATATCCCCAACTCAATTAGCTTGACGTCCTCGTCAAGGCTCGACATAACCCAGATCAAACCCTAGCATAGTGCATGTGAGTTTTAACTCAGTGGTGGCTCGGCTCTGATACCAAATGTCACGACCCGAGTCTGATGAGCCAACTGGCCAATAACTCCATTTTGGTCCTTCAACCACGGACCAAAAGCGAGAGTTAACGTAGTACACTCATCAGCCCCATATAAGCTAATCATACACATTACCCACTTCCGATGTGGGACTAATTGGATGTTACAATATCCGGCCCGACATAACCCAGATCGAACCCTAGCATAGTGCATGTGAGGTTTAACTCAGTGGTGGCTCCACGCCGTGATGAGTTCTCGACTCCATCCACGGGTAGCCCTTTCCTACTTGAGCCCTCTCACCCTGCCCAAATGCAACCACGGACCAAATTGCTTAAGCGGGAGTTAACGTAGTATACTCATCAGCCCCATATAAGCTAATCATACACATTGCCCACTTCCGATGTGGGACTAATGGGATGTTACAATTATGGTGTTATACTCTACTGTTTTCTTTTTTAGATTCGAGTCACTTGAAATAATAGGAAACAAAAAAACAATGGCCAGCATGCTTAGAGGGTTCACTTATATGGTGACACTTAGATGGTTTTTAGCATATGCTGGCTGGGTGGTATTGCCTTCGTGTACAGTTATGCATTAGATCACATTCAATTCTTGTTGGGTCTCCAATATAAATATCTGATGTAAGGCATTGTTTTGTTAAAAGTTTTACATACTAATGATTATTTGATTTGCTTACCAATAGAAACTTTGCTTATTAGCCTTTTTTATGTTTCATTAACTAATAATTTTTCAGCTTTTGTTTGGATTACAGTAAGAAAATTTCATTTTCATGATTCCACCTTCCTATTCTTATTTACAACAACAAAACCATAAGCCATATGTTTAGTTAAATTCAGAATTGTTTCTATTAAAGTCTTTTTAGGTCTTCCTTTACCTTTCCTCGTATTACTAACATTAATCATTTCATCTTTTCTGACTACCGCATTCGGATGTCTCCTAAGCATATGCCCATATCATCTTAAACAATTTGCTCTCATCTTATCCTCTATCGAAGCGATACCTAGTTATTCACAAATAAAAATATTACTTTTCCTATCTTTCCTAGTAACTTTATATATCCATATCAACATTTTCATCTCAGCAACACAAACCTTTTGTATATATTGTTTTTCAGTTGTCGAACATTCAGATCCATAAAATATCGTTGGTCTCACAATCGTGTTATAAAATTTTTCTTTTGATCTCGAAGGTCTCTGAGGATTATACAAGACTTCTAACGCGCTATCACGACCTTAGCTGGAATTGCCTAAGGCGTGAGGCACCCTTGCGGCCAAGACGCGGATTTAGCTTGTGTTGCCTAAGTCGTGAGGCACCCTTGTGTTACGGACAAACTTCTAAACAGGATGTTTGATGTAATGCTTATGTATGTCCGTGTCTTTTGATATGTTCATGCTTTGTACAGTATGTAGAGGGACAACCGAAGGCTTAATAGTCCCATTTTAGTTAGGTTGGTAGCCGCTTTAGGCTTATAAATAAAGGTTGTGTCATGTGGACACGTGTGAGAGATTTTCGGTCTATAATGGACAATTTTACCCTTTGTTGTGCAACTGTTCAGAGCTTGTAAAGTCTGTTTGTAATTTGCATTGTCTATGAAGTATTTTCGGAAATATTTGCTTGTGGATCCCGAGTGAGGCGTTCTCTCTAACCCGTTCTCTCTTTTGTTGGTCCTAAGGGACAATGGGAGGCTTTGGGGAGGCTGACCTTTACGGACGTACACGCAAGGGTGCCGCACGACTTAGGCAAAACCAGCTAAGTCCGTGACAGATGGTATCAGAGCGGGATAAGCACTCATAGAAACACTTAGCATGCAAATATGGGGGACTTAGCGGGACTGCGTTGAGGGCAGTCAGCACACGCGCGATCGTTTGGCGGGGGGGGGGGGGAAACGGGCATGGTGATGTAGGGAAAAGGAGTCGTTCGGAGGAGCGGACATCTGAGATTGGCATTCAGAGGAATGGCCAACCCTTCGCGCAAGAGGCACCACGAGAACAGGCAAGCCTGGAAGAATGCGGAGCGCACAAAGGTTGGGATGGTTGAGTTTGAGCTACGGCTCAACGTTGATAACTATACTTGATGGTGCTCAAGGCAAGCGAGACGCTTGGTAAAGGATGAGACCATGCAAGGTGGAATGAGTTGCTCAGCGACCGTAAGAGTTGTGCAAAGCTCACAGAGGTGAGGGGAATTGCTAACTCAAAGAATTCAGTACTCATACATGGGCTTGTATGTGGATGATGGAATGTTCGCGGCCATCCCAAGGCGACCGAAACTCGGCGCCATAGAGCATTGAAACTTTCTCTTCGGCATGTAAAGGATACGTCCGTAGGAGGTTGAAGTGTGCAACGAGTTCAGCATGTTGCTAGGCCTTGAGTGGTGCAGCGGGGGCTGTATTGACGTGGAGTCGCAATCTAGCAAGTGCGTTTGCAAGAGGCAGAACAATGCACAGTTTGTTCAGCAGATCGGAGTAGTCCAAGGGGATGGTGGTCTCCGAGACGAAGAGAGATGTTGCTCCAATGAGACAGTTATCCAAGAGGGATAAGTCTCGGCTCTCCAAAGGGAGAATCATGTGGGACGGACCTCACAAGTTGAGGAGGAGTACCTCAACAAACAACAACTCCACGAAGCTCAATGGAATGAGCAAGCGGCGAGGAGTCGTCGCATGATCTCGCTCGAGAGAATGCATTGGTAGATGCATTGTGAGATCAAGTAGGGGAGCGACCCAAAGCAACACAAATGAAGGCACATTTGGAGTCGATATGAGATCGGACTCAAGGGAGGGCTGACCCATGGAATGGTGGGCGCGAGGGCCACCATCAACTCAATGCAAAAACGAGGAGCAGAGCAACTTGGGTGTAACTTGGCAAAGTACCCAAGCCGCATGAAGGGAGCTAGTATAGAAGATGGAACATGGAGCGGAGGCACAGTGCTTTCCTTGGACAGAGGTCAAGGACATGAACTCTTGTAGAAGCAAGAGTACGATCATGTTGTTCTATGGGTCCTTCGTTCTGACGGAGCGGACTCATCTTGCATGGTGCCAAAGACGAAGGGAGCTTCTGGGCACATGCACCTTATCTCGGAAAAGCATGTGATGGAGGAACTAGGGC